CGTGGCTTCTCCTACCTTCATGCACTCTGTAGGTCTTTCCTTCTCTGCCCCTGAGCTCTAGAGGCCCCAGCTTGGCTCTCATTGCTTTTTAATAGTTGTAAATTGGTTGATTTGTGGGAGAGAGTGATGCTAGGGACCGTCTATTTCGCCATCTTGACCAGATGCCACAATCTAATGTACTTACGTTTCTTGTATATAATCTGTCTGCCCAACTAGAGTGTAAGTTTCAGGAGGCCAGGTGAGGGATCTACATCTGTCTTGTTCTCTACTGTATCCCCAGTGCCCACAACAGTGCTGCACATATGTTTGCCATTCTGTGAATATTTGTTGGATAAATCGAATGAATGAATGGATTAATGGGTGGGCTTATTGTTGGATAAATAGATCCAGGGGAGAGGAAAGAGGAGAAAGACAGGAAAAGACCCCAACATACATTGAAAACATGAAGGCTTCCATTTGCCCAAGGCAGAGCAAACTTTTTTTAAAAAACCTCTTTCTTATCCCCACAACCAAATAATCAATCAATCACTTTCCAAACCATGTCCCTCTTGCCTCCTAAACATTTCTTGTTTCTTCCAAAATTTTATTATGAGGAGGGAGGGAGGTTTTGGTAACTGGCCACAATAATCAACTACATTGTATATCGAAAAAATAAAAATTTTTAAAAAACCACAAAATTTTATTATGAGCATTTCCAAATATAGAGAAAAGTTAAAGATTTTACAACAGATATCCTTATACCAATCACCTAGATCCTACCATTAACATTTTGCTTTATTTGCTTTATCATATTTAAATTCATTTATCCATCCCTCTATCCATCCATCTCCAGCTTATTTTTTGATGCACTTAAATGAAAGTTACAGACATTAGTACACCGTCCCCTAAGTCCTTCAGTATGTCCATCGGCATTTGTTTACCATTCTTTATTTTCTATTTTGAGGGAAAATTTACATACAAGATGCACAAGTCTTAAGAGTGCCATTCACTGAGTTTTGACAAATGCATATATCTTTGTAACCCAAACCCCTATGAAGATAAAGAACCCCTCTCCCCTGATTTTTTTCTTACCATACTTGCTTGTTCTGGAACTTCATTTAAATAAAATCACATAATCTTTTTTGTGTCTGGCTTCTTTTGTTCATCATAATGTTTTTGAGATCCATTCATGTTGTATGTGTGTCAACGGTTCATTCCTTTTTTTTTTTAAAAGATGACCGGTAAGGG